CCTGACGTAGTGATTGTAATATGTGCAAGTGATTATTAATATTATCTATTCAGAGAGAAGTAAATCTCATATTTTTGGAATGAAGGAAGAACAGACCATTTAATTTGGAATGTAGGGAAGAGGAAAATGCCAAAAGGCAAAGACTGCTGGAGTTCAGAGGGTACTCCAGTTGCGGGTAATAGCAAGAGCTAAGGCTCAGAGCAGGGAAAGGATAGGAGATGTTGAGGTTTCAGGAAAAGGTTCAAAGGGTCATGCTTCAACAGGAAATAATTTCTTCAACAGGCAAAAAAAAATCTGAGAGCCTAAGGGCAAGGAAGACTCAACCTTGCCAATTAATAGGGGACCATAAAAATTTATCATCAAATTGTGATACTTTTGAAAGAGAAAAAAATAGTAAAAGTGATAAAAATTAAATTATTTATTTTAATATATTTTTGAAATATTTATTGTCCAAAAATTGTTTTATTCAAAATTATTTAAAAATATAAGTCTTTCTGGGAAAAAACTACATACATTAAAGGAAATTTTTTAAATTTAAAAAATTTTTAATCTGAACATTTAAAGATGACTTAAGTGTAATAATTACAAGAATAGAAAATTACAGGTAAATATCTGTCATGAGCAGAGACGCAAAAGTCCTGTGTGAGATATGAGCAAATCTAATAAAGGACATATAAAAAGGGTAGTACATCAAGACCAAACAGAGTTTATTCCAGAAATGCAAGATTGATTTAACATTTAAAACTCAGTGTAACTCATTACATTAACAGAATAAAGGAAAAGAACATATAGTTATCTCAATAGATGCAGAAAAAGTATGATCAAGGAAAAACAAAACAAAATAAAAAACCCAAACCTCTTAGCAAACTGGAAATGTAAGGGAACTGTCTTATTTCAGCAAGAATATCTTTTTTAAAAATTGACAACTACATTTTACTTAATGGTTAATTTTAAACATTTGCCTCTTCAGTTAGGATTAAGATAAATATGACCACTATAACTACTTCTATTCTACATTGTACTGGAGGTACTAGTCAATGCTATAAGGCAAGACAAATAAAAGAAACAAAAGATATAACAAAGAGTAAAAAGTAAAAAACTTTACTTTCTTAGGGAAAAAAGTAAAGTTGTCATTTGCAGATGACATGATTATGTATGTATGTATGTATGTAAAAAGTCTAAAAGAATGTACTATTAGAATTAATAAACACAGCTACTGGAAACAATATCAATATCCAAAACTCAATTGTATTCTATATACTAGGAATAATTAGAAAATGAAAATAAATTTTAAATAGCATTATAAATGACACTGAAAAATAAAACTCCTAAGAATAAATCTAAAAAATGATGTGCAGAGTTTCCCTGGTGGTGCGGTGGTTGAGAGTCCACCTGCTGATGCAGGGTACACGGGTTCATGTCCTGGTCCGGGAAGATCCCACATGCCATGGAGTGGCTGGGCCCCTGAGCCATGGCTACTGAGCCTGCACGCCTGGAGACTGTGCTCCTCAACGGGAGAGGCCACAGCAGTGAGAGGCCCATGTACCACAAAAATATAAAAAAAATTTTTTTAAAATGATGTGCAAAACCTCTGTGCTGAAAAGTACAGAATATTGCTAATGTGATTATAAAGACCTAAATAAATGGAAGGATATTCTATGTTTATGATCAGAAGATTCATGGTAGTAGAAATGTCAATTCTCCCCCAGAGTGATTTACAAACAATTCAAAATCTCAGACTTTTTTGTGTGTGCCAATTAAAAAGCGCATTCTAAAATTTATATGAAAATGCAAATTACCTAATATAGCCAAGGCATCTTGAAGAGAAACAAAGAGATTGGAGGAACATAAAGATATCAAGGTTTGTCATGAAACAACAGAAATTATAACAGAATGGTGTTGGTTCAATGACAGGCAAACAGACCAGTATAACAAAGTAAGGAATTCAGAAACAGATTCATGCATATAAAATCATTTGATTTATGGCAAAGTCACTACAGCAATTCAGTAAAATAAATGATAGTCTTTTTAATAAAAGGATGCCAGAAAAAAGAGATACAATACTGGAAAAAATTAAATATGACTCCTAGCTTACATAAAAATTTAAGATGGATTAATAGTCTGAATTAATAGACTGAATATTTGTATCTCTCAGAAATTAATATGTTGAAACCTAATCCCCAATATGATGGTATTTGGAGATGGGACCTTTGGGAGGTGATTAGGTCATGAGGGTGGAGCCCTCATTAATGGGATTAGTGCCCTTATAAAAGAGGCTCCAGAGTTCCCTTTGTCCCTTCTGCCAAGAACCTGGGAAGTGGAACCTCACCGGTGCCTTGTGCCCTGATTGTGGAATTCCCAGACTCCAGAACTGTGAGAAATAAGTATATAGAAACATTCCATACCTTAATGTGAAAAGTCAGATAATGAATTTTCAAGAAGAAAACACGGAATACCTTTATAGCCTTGAGAAAAGCATAGATTTCCAAATAGAACATACAGTTCACTAATCATAGAATAAAATACTGATGAATTTACCTTTATTAAAATTAAGAACCTTTATTTTATCAAAAGCCATCATGAATAGAGTAAATAGGAAGCCACAAATTGGAAGAGCATATTTGAAATACATATATCTCCCAAAGGACTTGTGTCCAAAATAAAGAAATAACTCATATAAAACAATAGGAAAGAGACACTTAGCCCAAAATTTTTTAAATGAGCAAAAGATTTGAATAGGCACTCCACAAAAAAAGGTATCTAAATCACCAATAAATATATAAAAAGATGTTCAATATTATTAATAACAGTGAAATGCAAATTAAAACAGTAATAAAATACCAACAACACCCATTAAAATGGCTATAATTAAAAGGACTGAAAATACGAACTGTTGGCAAGGATGTAAAGGAACTGGAACTCTAATGTTGCTGGTGATAGTGTTAGTGATAGTTCGGAAAACTGTTTAGCAATATCTACTAGAGCTAAACATCCCAAACTCTATGACACAGTGATATCCACTTCTAGGTATGTACTCAAGAAAGATGATTACCTATGTGTGCCTGCCAAGTATATATATATATACCAAAAATGCCCATAGGAGTATTACTCATAATGGCCCCAAACTGGTAATAAACCAAATGTTCACTAATAGTGCAATGGATAACTTAAAAGTGGTATATTCATATAATAGAATACTATACAACAACAAAAAGGAATAAACCTCTGTAATACCCCAAAGCATGGATGAGTTTTACAATGTTGAAAGAGGTTAGAGATAAAAGAATGCATATTGTGGGACTTCCCTGGTGGTGCAGTGGTTAAGAATCCACCTGCCAGGGCTTCCCTGGTGGTGCAGTGGTTGAGAGTCTGCCTGCCAATGCAGGGGACACGGGTTCGTGCCCCGGTCCGGGAAGATCCCACATGCTGTGGAGCGGCTGGGCCCGTGAGCCACGGCTACTGAGCCCGTGCGTCTGGAGCTTGTGTTCCGCAACGGGAGGGGCCGCGGCAGTGAGAGGCCCGCGCACCGCGATGAAGAGTGGCCCCCGCTCGCCGCAACTAGAGAAAGCCCACGCACAGAAAAGAAGACCCAGCACAGCCAAAAATAAATAAATAAATGGGAAAAAAAAAAAAAAAAAGAATCCACCTGCCAATGCAGGGGACACGGGTTCAAGCCCTGGTCTGGGAAGATCCCACATGCCACAGAGCAACAAAGCCCATGCACCACAACTACTGAGCCTGTGCTCTAGAGCCCACGAGCCACAACTACTGAAAGCCCACGCACTGTAGAGCCCGCACGCCACAACTACTGAGCCCACACACGGCAGTTACTGAAGTCCACCCCGCCTAGGGTCCGTGCTCAGCAACAAGAGAAGCCACCGCAATGAGAAGCCCACACACCACAAAAGAGTAGCCCCCGTCGCCACAACTAGAGAAAGGCTGCGAGCAGCAACAAAGACCCAACACAGCCAAAAAATAAATAAATAAATATTTTTTTAAAAAAGAATGCATATTGTAATATTCATTTATATGAAGTTCAAAAGGAGTCAAAAGTAATTTTTTTGGTTACAGAGGTCAGAAGAGTAGTAACTTATTTGGGGCTAAATCAACTGGGAGGAGGCGTCAGGGTGTGTGTGGTGCTGGAATGTTCTTCTCTTGATCTGAATGGTGTTTGCACACTTATATACACATGTAAAAAAATCATTAAGCCTTAAGATAGGTGAATTTTATGGTATGTGTTATATCTTCACTTAAAGAAGATAAATATAGATAGTAAAAATGATACGTACAGAATTATTATCCTCATTATGTCTTCATGTATCAGTTTCTTAGTCATATTTCTCTAATATCATGTCACTGGTATTTTCCTATGGTCTTATTATTTTGTATGTTTGTTACAAAATTACTTGCAATCTTTAAAATGGTGTTTTATTGTTAATATATATGAAACTGTTAATATCTTCAGTTGATTTCTTCTATTTCAACCATACTATTTTTTTTTTTTTTTTTTTTTTTTGAGGTACGCGGGCCTCTCACTGTTGTGGCCTCTCCCGTTGCGGAGCACAGGCTCCGGACGCGCAGGCTCAGCAGCCATGGCTCACGGGCCCAGCCGCTCTGCGGCATGTGGGATCTTCCCGGACCGGGGCACGAACCCGTGTCCCCTGCATCAGCAGGCAGACTCTCAACCACTGTGCCACCAGGGAAGCCCTCCCATACTATTTTTAATTATGAAAATACTCTCTACAGTTACTGAGGTACCTGGTCAGATCAATAATAATGCTAAATTGAGAATATTTTCCATTTTAATTGCATTATATTGAAATATAGTAATATTTCAGCCAAAATATTTTCACAAGTACTCTCTTTTTGCCTCCACTCAGAGTATATTTATTCAATAAATGTTTTATTAGATGAAATTTGTCAAATTATCTCTCTCTATGATTCTTTTGAATGTTTTGCCAAATTTAAATTCATTTGAGTTTTATTCTATTTTGGCACAGAGAATTTTCTCCAACAAAAGTGGGAACACAAAGGACATTCAAGATATCCCAAAGATCTATTATCTAATTTCAAAATCAAATCTTGCACTATTTGGACTTTCATTATTTCAGTATTTACAAGTAAGTTGAATATATTGTATTGCACTTAGATTGATTTACAAAGAACTTCCTTAAGGGCTCAAGCATTTCTAAAATTTGATAACATGTAGCAAAGAGAGAAAGCATCTACTTCCACACTGAATCTGAATTATTTTTTTATTTCAACATCAAATTTGTAAAAAAAAAAAAAGATGTATACAGTTTAGTAACTCTAACTGCATGTACATACAAAATATTTATAAAATTTAACAACTATAGCTTCTATTTCAATTGTTAGATCATCACAGCTCTTTTAGGATGCAATTATGAATTTTGTATGTACCACAACCAATACGATAAGCACATTTCTTCAATGTATATATCTTAATTTAGTGGAACATTGCTTTTACCATGTTTTTACAAAGTTGTCCATCAAAATTTGTGTTCATTTTATTACTGAAATAAGCCAATAATTTTATATCACTGTTGAACTATTAAACTAAATTTATAATGTTTTTAACAATAGTGTGAGATGCTTTATCTAAACAGAATGAACTTTAAATAGTTTTACTTTGAGTCCATGATTTGTGTGGGAAAAAATCTTGAACCATTTTTAATTGGCTGGCTTTTATTTGTAGCACCTGATATGTTGTTGTAAGAGTCTCATCATTTAACTATCTGTGACGTTAGCATCCTGTTAGAACTAATAAAATAACAGCTATCACTTCACTTTTTGTACAATCATAAGAAAACTGGGAATCTAAAATGAGCGAAATGTAGAAGTAAAATCATTTGATCCAAATGGAAAGTCCTGCTGCAGAGTGACATGTAAATACACCTTCTGCAGCTGCACATGTTAAATCATGATCTCCAGGACAATCATCTTAAAATAACATTAACTTTTGAAGTGGATACTTTCAGTTTTCACATGCTCAGCAATTATGGCCCCATTGTTGGATGCGGAATTTAAAAATTTTGAAAGTTACACCTTCAACATTAGCTTTTTTGAGAAACAGAAACTCAGTACTTAATTTTTCATGAAACACTCTTGGCTTTCAGCCTATTACTGTCAAAAGAGTTGACTGCAATTTTTATAAAGGCATGGATAACAAAATAAGAAAATTTTAAAGATTTTTACCATGGGATACTGACAAAACTGCTGTAGCAAGAGTACTCAGACCACTCTTGGTACACAGTATGGTAACCAGCCTCCATTTCCTGAACATATTTCGTGGACAACTAATCTGTAATTACCCACATTTCCTAATGACCCTGCTGATTAGCAGCCTGGCAGCTTGTTACATCATGAAATCTGTAGCATGGGCCATGGCATAATTGGCTAGAACACCAAATAGATTGCAGGGGCAACTGTGTTGAATACTTCTTCCTCCACCCTCAAGACCAGAAGGATTTAACTGTTCCTAGTCGCCTGAATCCAAGGGCACATCATTTTATCAATTAAGACTCCACATGCTATCCTGAACAGCAGTTGTTATTTTATATATGTATAGTTTATATATAATACATATATATATATAAAAAATATATATATTATATATAATACATATATATAATATATATAAAATATATATTTAGAATATATAAAATATATATTTATATATAAATATAAAATATATATTTATATATATATAATATATATATATATATAATACATATATATAAAAATATATATATAATACATATATATATAATATATATATATAAAATATATATATATATATAGTGGAACAGAAAGGTTCTGGAATAGAAAGATAGTCTCTCTAACCAGGCAACTCTCTTTATATGTCCTAAACTGAGAATTCTTTTCCCTGCATATTAGCCTCATACTTCTAGATGAGACTACAGCAGAAGTTGCAAGTACAGAATAAAGGCCCATCAAATTGATCTTTGCTTATTTTAATACAACACTTAACAATACTTGTTTAAATCAGGAAAAAAAAATCCAAGTGGATGGTACAAGGGAATAGGCATAAATGGGGATTGTCTCAGGCATACTGGGGCATATGAAAACCCTAAAGTAGTTTAAATTCACAGTGGAAATAAATTCAATTCAAATCCACAAATATTTGTTGAGGACCTACTAAGTCCAAGAACTTTAGCTATAAGCTGAAAGGAAAATACAAATAGGAATTGAGCCAATTCTTTCCTCTTACCCTTAGGAAGGATAAGGCATATATACAAAGGATTCATATTCAGAGTAGAATGGTATGACATTTTCTTAAAAATTAATGATGTAAGACTCTTGCATTGAAAAAAATAACACAGTATTTGTTTCCAATGATTAAACTTGAGCTTTTGAGTAAAAACGAAAATTTGGAAAACTTGTATCCACCACTGTGAGTTTGACAGTTTCCCAATATCGAAAGGCTTTTCTGATGCGATTCATAATATGATAGTAATATGAACAAATGTGATAGTGAAAAGTGTCAACATTTCAAGGACTTGCATAACTCAGTGGATCAATACTTTCCAAATGACTAATGTGTAAGCAATGTTACAAAAATGGCCATCCAAATTGCAAGATAGACAAGTGGATTTTAATATAACAGTTTGAACATTTTATTGATATGGTTTCAGAGTTCACATTACAAACTAACCTTTAAGAAACAACCCCTTGTTAAGTTTTGGTGTATATCCAAAAAAGAAAGAATATCCACAGTTTTCTGAAAAGGCTATTAAATACGTCCTTCTTTTTCCAACTACCTATCGCTATAAGGCTGAACTTTCTTTCTGTCCTTCAGCCAAACAGCTAATCACAACAGATTTAATACAAAAATGGTTATGATAATCCAGCTGTCTTCTAGTAAACCAGGCATTAAAGAGGTTTGCAAAAATGTAAAACAATGCTAATTTTCTCACTAAATTGTTCTGTTTTAGAAAATATATTTTTTCATTAAAATATTATTTACACTGACATGTAACGGCCTTATTGCTATTTTGAAAGGAATTAGTATATAAAGATTGCCTTAAATAATACAACTGTGTCTAATTTCATGACACTGGTGCTACAGGGAAAACAGGGGAAAGAGAGATTATGGCAGAAAAGATACGGAAAGTTTTCACAAAAGACCTGGTATTCCACTTTAGACTCTGAAAAGTAGGACTTTAAGAGGAACTCTTTTTGAAAGGATGAAAAGTCATACGTAAAGGCTTAGAAACAGGAAAGCATCTGTTATTCTCAGGAAATAATGAGTAATGAGTTCAGTTGGCTGAAATATAAGGAAGGCACCATTCTCTCCTGCTTCTCTTGTTAACTCTCCCTCTCCCTCTCCCTTTCTGGCTTTTCTTTCTCTCCCACTCCATAAATCTTGATGCTTCCAACAGTTTTGTCTTTGGATCTGTCTTCTCACTCTATATGTCTCCCTCAACAATCATGTCCATCTTCAAGATTGGAACTTCACTTCTTGGCTGCTGAATCCCAGATGTTTATCTCACATTCCTTCCTGAGCTCTAGAATTATATGTTCTGGACATCTTGAAAGCAACAAACCAAAAATGGAATAAATGTTTTCCCAGAAGCCACTCCCCCTCCTATATCCCCTTTCTTGGCATCCCCCCATATTCAGAAATAACTCACGTCAAAAACAGCAGAGTCACTTTAATCTTCACTCTCACCTTCCTCCCCTATCTTCTTTCAATTTCATCCCCTTCCATCACCACTCTTCCTTGTTTTTCTTTTCTGTACTATTATGGTATTTTCTTAGTTCTTTTCTGCCACTAGTCTCACAACTTTCCATTTTATCCTCCTTATTGCTACTAAATCCAATAGTACAAAAGCAACAAATCTAATCATGTTTCCCTGTCTTGAAACCCTTTGATGCCCGCCCCCTCCAAGGATTCCCTAACACCTTGGTGGAACATAAAATGTCATCCATTACCTGGCCCTTGATTACTTCTCCATCCTTAATGCTTCGCAGGTACCCTCCACAGCCCATAGCAAACCTATTTCTTGATTCTGCCATATTAAAGAACTTGTAGTTCTCAAAATGACTCCAGGTTGTTTTACTTTTCCATGACCTTGTTCAGGTGTTTTCTCATCCAGGAATGTCTTTTTCTGCCCCATCAACAAAGGATACCAATTCACCTTTCATCATTATTCTAGAGATACATTTCCTCTAAGAATTTTTCTCTTCACATTGGCTTAAGTGACATTTATTTTCCTCTTTTAATAATAACATTTAAAGTGATTATTAGCATGTGAAATCTGTTTCTGAAGCTGTTCTTAATTGATTTCCCCTCTTCACAGCACAAAATACTGAATAAAGCATTTTGCAAGGGTTCATCTTGTTTTAAATAAAAAGCAAAGAAAATTTAAATATCTAGCAGAAAGTACCCAAATCCATATTTCTTCTAATATTTCTACATATAAACTGGCAAAAAAAAGAGCCAAGGTTTACAAAACACATGTCCAATAGCCATGTGTGTATTATGTCCTTTCAAAACTTTTTTCACAAATAATTTTATATTTCCAGAGTTCCTTGAATATTTTGCAAATTTAATTTTTGCTAGACTTGACATTCTTTTATATCACAGAGGTATTTTGTTTTGAGAGGTTTTTTCCTCAAACTGAGTCACATTTCTACTCTTTAATATTAATAGAGCTGGTTATTCACAGCTCATTTTAAAAAGGATTAAAATTCTTAAGCAGCAACATCATAGCTGTATTTGCCATCCCCTGAATTCAAGTGATATCAGAGGTACAGATATGCCTGCCAGAGACTTGCTTCATTACTGAGCTCAGGTCCCCCAAATCAGTGAGCATCCAATCCAGCAGATAGAAAGAAGCTCTGAGCAGCTGCACAAAATGAAAGGCTTTTATAGGTAGAAGGGAGTGGGAACAAGGAAGTTTTATCAGGCAAAAAGCAAATTGGTTACTGCAAGGTTATTTTCCTTTAGGGGATGGCACGGGTCTATCAGGCAGCATGGGTCTATCAGGCAGATTACCTCACTACTGCTGATCAGGCAACTCCCGATTGACTGGTGTGAGATTCCATTTCTGGGAGAGCCCAAACTGTAATTAAGTCTTGGTTTGGTGACGTGGGGCTTAGTATGAGTGACCCCATTTGAGGCCTGTTGTCTTATCTTAAAAAAAAAACAAATTTGGATGGAGATATACCGAGGAAATGCAAAATGTTCAAAGCTTTTATGCCTAATTACATGAGGAAGACATTATCCCAGTTATAGAAACGACAGGTCACACATTTACATAGGAGCCTAGACTTCAGTCTATCACACTCATGCAAAGAGCAGGAACAATGATTATAAAGACAGGGAAGTGCCGCTCATTTGCTAACTAAGGTGATTCAGTGATAAGAGATTTTTTTCATCGGTCTGTAATTGCAGGGATGTTTTTCAGGGCCTTGTAAGCACCTGATGCATGGTAGGAGGGAGCTGGTTCTTTTAAAAGGGCTTAATAGAGAGAGGCAAGAAATAAGGAAGCAAGGCAGTGACGAATTAGAAAAAAGAAAAGGTTATGTGAAAACCATCTGAGAAATTAGCCAACATTTGTGGAGAGAATATAGAATGTAGAAGTTAGGGTTCTTTATGTAGATAATGAGACTATCAAGATTTAGTGAAGCCAAAGTTTTATGACAGAGTGGTGAGATCTAACAAATCAGATTTCCCCTCATTTATATTACCATTTAAAAGATTTTGTTTCATTGTAAACTGTATGGTTAATTTAGTGGGGCAATAAATGGTTTAAAACCATAGTAGAAACAGTAGATACATTAGTGATACGTTTAAACAGGACAGAAAGTTCAACCTCAGAAATAGGAAAGAGGAGGCGGTTCCTCCTCTCCAAGAGAGTACATGGAAGGTCATCCTATCTAAGGAGAAGGTTTTGATTTCCCACTTTCTGCTTCCCACTCAGTGACACTTTGCACCTGCTTTCTGTAAAGATGAGATCTTAAAGCTGAAATTTGGAGGCAGAAGAATTGGCTTTTAGAGTTAAAGCACTGTGCTACAAAAACAGATTTGTATCTTCCCTTGGACGGCTTGGAAACTGTCAGTGCAATCCAGGGTAAGAAGGTGTGGAACCTAGAAAGACAGAAGGTAAGAGCCAAATTCCCAGGAACTCAAGCACTGTGTACAGTGTTGGGTTAAAGTGAGCCATAAATGGATGACTTCCCTTCCCCTCCCCTCCCTTCTCCCCTCCCCCTCTCTATTTGTTACACATTTTAATGTGTGTGTGTGTGTATATATATATATATATATATACATAGAGAGAGAGAGAGAGAGAGAGAGAATTCTTTTATAAAATTTTGCTTCAAAGTATTCTCTTGGGGCTTCCCTGGTGGCGCAGTGGTTGAGAGTCCACCTGCTGATGCAGGGGACACGGGTTCGTGCCCCGGTCCGGGAAGATCCCACATGCTGCGGGGCGGCTGGGCCCGTGAGCCATGGCTACTGAGCCTGTGCGTCCGGAGCCTATGCTCTGCAACGGGAGAGGCCACAACAGTGAGAGGCCCACGTACAGCAAAAAAAAAAAAAAAAAAAGTATTCTCTTGAAATGCAGTTATAATTCAAATTTGCTTAACTCTTAAAATAGGATTTTTTTTTTTTTTGGCTGTGTTGGGTCTTCGTTTTTGTGCGAGGGCTTTCTCTAGTTGCTGAGAGCGGGGGCCACTCTTCATCGCGGTGCGCGGGCCTCTCACTGTCGCGGCCTCTCTTGTTGCGGAGCACAGGCTCCAAACGCGCAGGCTCAGTAGTTGTGGCTCACGGGCCTAGTAGCTCCGCGGCATGTGGGATCTTCCCAGACCAGGGCTCGAACCCGTGTCCCCTGCATTGGCAGGCAGATTCTCAACCACTGCGCCACCAGGTAAGCCCAGACTAGAATGATTTTTAAGGCTTCTTCCAACTCTGACATTTGATTATCCTATGAAATCTGGGTTAAGTAGAGAGGCACATTCATATAGCACATTAACATCTGGTAGAGGCACACCTGAAGTGTTAGAGCAGAGAGGGACAAAATCAGCTTCTGAAATATTGAAATTGCCCCTCCTCAACAAATGAGTACCTTGCTTTGTAACAAAATAAGAACAAAAAGGATCACATTATAGCAACAAGTAGAATTTGTTACAAGTGAACAGGGCTAAAAGCAGCAAAGGCAAAGAATACATAGGTGAGATCACCAAAAGACAAGTGCCAACATGTATGCTGGTCTGTTCTTATTCAATCTTCCAAGTGAGATAGATAATGCAAATAAAATTTAGATAACAAATAATGCAATTACAATACAATAATAAATCCAATGAGAAGCAACCATGCTCATTGGGACAGTGTTTTGACGGATATACTTGTGTATATTTATTTGGCTTGACCACTTACCAGCTATGTGTACTTGGGTTAAGTTATGTGTTCATTGTAGAACATTTGAAAAATATATAAAATATCAAAGAACGAAAAAAATCCTCAATGCAAGGAATTCTGGAAAATATTATTTTAGCTTTCCAACCTTTATACTAAAGGAAAGCAAACCAGAACAGGTGTTTCTGTATTTGTGATGTTTATCACTTTTACCTAAAACATCATTTGAATACATGTGCTAAAGCCATTTCCTTTAAGAGCGCGAACAGAAATGTTCACCATCGTTTTTTGTTTTTTTTTTAATTTATGTATTTTATTTATTTTATTTTTGGCTGCGTTGGGTCTTAGTTGCTGCACGTGGGCTTTCTCTAGTTGCGGCAAGCAGGGGCTACTCTTCTTTGCAGTGCGCGGGCTTCTCACTGCGGTGGCTTCTCTTGTTGAGGAGCACAGGCTCTACGTGCGCGGGCTTCAGTAGTTGTGGCTCACGGGCTCTAGAGCGCAGGCTCAGTAGCTCTGGTGCATGAGCTTAATTGCTCCACGACATGTGGGATCTTCCCAGACCAGGGCTCGAACCCGTGTCCCCTGCATTGGCAGGCAGATTCTTAAGCACTGTGCCACCAGGGAAGCCCACCATCATTTATTAATCAACATTATTTTGGAAGTTTCAATGAGAGCAATAAAAAATGTTAAATGAAATAATTTGTAAAACCACTGGTATAAAAAATATAGAGAGCTGATGATGTAGTTGTACACCTAAAAATATCAGTTTTAAAGTAATAAAAAAAGAGAATTTGATAATTTGATCACATATATATTTAAAAATCAATAGCTTTTCTTTCCCTTACTGTCAATAAACAGACACAGAAATGAGAAAAAGCAAACACACATAAAACAGATAGCAATAAAGAATTAAGCTAAAAAGAAAAATACAGGACCAATATTTTAAAAAAAACAACAAAAAACAGAAACCAAAAAAATCTATACTAACTTATTGAAGGGCTCAAAGGCAAAGCAATCAACTGAGTATGGTCTGGGTTGGAAAATCTTAATATCACAAAAATATCAAGCCTGTAGAAAAACAATAAATTCAATTAAAAGTATGTAACTAAAATACAGTAAACTCTACATAATTAAATACACAATTTGAGATACACAGACACGCACACCACACACACACACCTGTAAAACCATCATCACAATCAAGATAATGAACATATCCATCAACCTCAAAAGTATCCATTGCCCCTCTATAATCCCCCACTCTGCCCCCTCCCCATTTCTAGCAACTACTGATCTACTTTCTGTCACTATACACTAGTTTTCATTTTTTGGAAATTTATGAAAATGGAATCTTCTGTTCTCCTTTTTGTTTGGCTTTTTTCACTCAACATAATTATTTTGAGATTCATTCATTTGTTGCATGTAGTTCATTCCTCTTTATTGTTGAGTATTTTACTGTATGGATATACCACAATTTGTATACCTATTCACCTGTTCATAGAAATTTGGGTTAATTTCAGCTTTGAGCCTTTACAAATAATGCTGTTATGAACATTTGTGTACAGACATGTGTTTTTGTTCTTGGAACTTTAAAGTCTCTAGAAGAAAACAGGAGAAAATTATTTGTGATCTAGATTTTAAAGTTTTAGGTTTTTCATTAAGATCTATGTTCCATTTTGAATTAATTTTTTTTTTTTTGCAGTACGCGGGCCTCTCACTGCTGTGGCCTCTCCCGTTGCGGAGCACAGGCTCCGGACGCTCAGGCTCAGTGGCCATGGCTCACAGGCCCAGCCGCTCCACGGCATGCGGGATCCTCCCAGACCAGGGCACGAACCCACGTCCCCTGCATCGGCAGGTGGACTCTCAACCACTGCGCCACCAGGGAAGCCCTTGAATTAATTTTTAAATATGATGCGAGGTAGGAGGTACAGATTGAAGTTCATTTTTTTGCATGTGAATATCAAATTGTTCCAGTACCATTTATTGGAATGACAAGAAAAGCCTGTTCTCCTTTTTTAACTTTGTTGAAAATCAATTGAATATAAATATATATATTTCTATATAAATATATCCAGAATCTCTAATCTGTTTCCTTAATGTTTTTGTCTATTTTGTTGCTAATACCATACTGATTTGATTATTGTAGCTTTATAATAAGTCTTAAGGTCAGATGATATAAGTTCCCCAACTCTGTTCTTTTTCAAAGTTGTTTTGATTTTTTTTAAAATAAATTTTATTTATTTATTTATTTATGGCTGTGTTGGGTCTTCACTGCTGTGGGAGGGCTTTCTCTAGTTGCAGTGAGCAGGGGCTACTCTTCTTGTGCAGGCTTCTCATTGCGGTGGTTTCTCTTGTTGCGGAGCACGGGCTCTAGGCGCACGGGCTTCAGTAGTTGTGGCACGTGGGTTCAATAGTTGTGGCTCGCAGGCTTAGTTGCTTCATGGCACATGGGATCTTCCTGGACCAGGGCTTGAACCTGTGTCCCTTATACTGGCAGGTGGATTCCTAACCACTGTGCCACCAGGGAAGTCCCTCAAAGTTGTTTTGATTAATATAGGTACTTCATATTTCCATATGAATTTTTGAATAGCTAGTCATTTCCTCAAGAAAAAACCCTTGCTGGGATTTTGATTCAGGTTGCATAGAATCTACAGATGAATTTGGGAAGAATTGACTTCTTAACAATATTAAGGCTTCCAATTCATCAGAGCCAAAGTGAGAAAGAACCCTGCCCTACTCACCTCTAAACAATTGCTCTCAATGCCTGTTTGTGGAGATGAATGGGACTCAGAAGTGCTCGTAGAGGCTGCAGGGTGCTCCAGAGGAAATGGGCTTCTGCTCTTACTATTGCCACCAACACAGGACATTTGTGGCCAGGATGAGCTCTCCAGACCTACTCCCCAACTGGCATAGTGGCAGACTTCTCTGTGTCTCTAAGTCTAGACTGAACTTTTAGACCTAGGAGAAGGGGAGAGGGAACCCTCTCCTTCCTCAGTCCAGAAAATCACCTTAGTTTTTGGTCAATAAAACACTATCCATTTTGATTAATGATAGAAACATCTGCTCCCTTCAAAAGAAAACTCCACCCTTACCCATCAGGGTATGGTTTTAATGCTAGACTCCATCAAAGCAATAGAATCACCGAACTGTCTCTACATTTTCTCATATTTGGTTAATTCAGTCTTATCCATAGTACCCTTGTTATTCTAGTATATATGCTGATCTGTTGTTTATGACAGATTTACTCTGACTAGTATAATTATATATTTTAAATTAGTATATTCAATGTACAATTGACAGGTATTACTTTTTTTTTTGAATATACTAATTTAAAATATATAATTATTTGTTGTAAGAGGTCCCTCCTCCACCCAAAATCACTGGCTCAAACTAGAGTTTATTTTTCTGTCATATAACAGCTCAGAGGTAGACATGAGTTTCATGGAGATATCCAGGGACCAGAGTTCCTTTCATCTTATTTCTTGTCATCACCCCTAGAGAATTGTCCTCATTTAGATGGCTAATTTGCCTTGATCGCTACCATGTCTACATCTCAGCTTGCAGGAAGATGAGAGAATTGGGATGGAAACTCTAAAGATGAGACAAAGAAGTTGCACACGTAATTTCCACTCTGGTCAGTGCATCACAGAATGAAAACCAGTTGTAAAGAAGGCTAGGGCTGCTGTCTTTGGCTGAGTAATCAATCACACACCAGCTGAAACTCAGAAGAATGGATAGTATCCCAGAAAAATTATCAGTCTCTGTCACAAATATAATATTCCAAAATCTAAATTTCTGATATTTTAATTTATAATTAACAATATAGAATTGCATTATTTTTCTAGGTAATCAAGTAAGTGGATTCAAGGAAGGAATCAAAGGAAAATCATTTCTTCTTGTTAATGATCATGTATTCAAGCACTGACTTCAATTAAGTTGTGAGTACCATTTCTACTTCTTCCTATTTTAGTGAATTATCAGCTGCTTTTTATTTCTCAATTCAATCTTAATAGCAAGATTGTGATAGAATACCACATAATAAGCTTTCAATATTATGAAGGTGAGAGTACCTTCCTTATAAGCACTTTGTTACATAAAAATTGGGTTTCATTCACCTCTTAAGTGCCTGTTCTCCTGACTTTTTTGCTTAGATCAAGAAAGTCAGTGCAAGAAAAACACTGAGTCTTATCTCAGTTACTTCATCAATTGGAAAACCTTTCAAGTCACCAGGAATATGGTCTAAGGGGTGAGCTATGAATACAGAACTATGGCCATGCAGCCGTCATGACTCAAGTTTTCCTCCTACTTTTATAGTAGGTCCTAAAGCTACATTTGCTGTTCCTCCTCAAACCTTAGCCAGCACCGAGAAAACTTATGGGAAACCAAATGATTGAAGGATAAATTTCTGAGGCCTAAAATCTCACTGAGACTTTGTAAAATAAATGTTTTCTGAACACCAGATTCTCTATGAAGAGATGCCGCCTCACATATAAGTAAAAAAAAAAATTGAAAAACAAATCAGATCCTACCATTCCTCAGTTCAAAACTTGAAATGACCCCTTTAAAAAATCAGAATAAAAATCAAACTCTTTTAAAATGGCCTAAAGTATCATATACCATCTCCTTCCCCACTTTGCCCTTCTATCCTACAATTTTCCCTCATTCCCTCAGCTCCTCCCTTGCTGGTCTCCTCCTCCTGGAGCATGCCAGGCACCCTCCTTCTTAACATGGGGACTCTGGAGGCTCTCCCTTCTGCATGGAATGCCAGGCCCCCAGGTAATCTGCATGGCTGCCTCCATGACCTCCTTCAAGGCTTTGCTCAGATCACACCTTGCGATGCTGTATCAATTCAGGCCCCCTGAAAAGCAGTCACCAATGTGGAATTAGATGTACAAGAGAGTTATTGGGGAAAACACATGTGAAGAATATAAAAGAGGGAACAGGAGGCAGGAGGCATGCAGATCTGACACCTGTGAAAAGCAGTGGAGGAGGTGGGAGGATTGGGTAGGATGAGCCTCAAATTGCACTGCAGCTCTCTGAGGAAGTCTTGGCCAGGGCAATAGGAACCCCAGAGGAGAGGTTTCTTACAGAGGAGTCCCATGTTGGACAGAAATACTGTGACTTTAGTATTCCACCATACTCAGCCATTGGCCTGGAACTGCTGAGAGGGCATTTGCTTTGGGATGAATGCCCTAGCAAGCCCAAAGGCATGAAAACTGAAGGCTGTCAGTCCCTTACAGTCCTTGAAGCAAGTTATCTTGAAAGGAGATCTGAGTGAACTGCCTCCAAGGCCCCCTCAGAACCCTACCCTAACTACCCTATGTAATACTATAATCACTTAATTACACCATTTAATACTCTCCACTGCCAACTCAGCATTCCCAATCCTCCTTACCCTGCTCTATTTCACCTTATTCCATAGCACTTCATTTATTTTATATCCTTTAATGTTCATGATCACAATGAGAAGAATGTATCCGACATGTACAAGTGAGCCAAGGTTCGTAAGCTTAGAAACTGCACCCATTGTAGGGTTCCCTGGGGTTTCATCCTTAGACTTTATCTACTTACATTCAATTGTCACAAATATGCTATTAATAATGAAGGTTATGACAATGGCACCAAAACATCATTGAGCACTTATTATGTGCCAAACACTGTACTAAGTGCTTTATCTGTATTATCTCATTTAATACCCAGAACAATCTTTGAGGTTACTATTATTATTACTCCCACTTTTATAGATGAGGATACTGAGGTTTAGACAGGGAACACACTCCCTCTACTGGGAGATAGCTCTCACGTTTCAAGTCTGGGCTAAGTGTCCCTTCTTACATTTTCCTGTGGCAACCTGGATCTTCTCACAGAATGCTAATCCACTGAACTAGAATTGTAGGTCCCACCAGACCAGGGGTTGGCAAGCTTTTTCTGTAAAGGGCCAGGTAGTATATATTTCAGATTTTGTGGGCTTTGTGGTCTCTGTCACAACTACTCAACTCTGCCATTGCAGTGCAAAAGCAACCACAGAGTGTGTTAATGAAAAGTATGGCTGTGTTCCAATAAAACTTTATTTATGGACACTGAAATTTGAATTTCATGTAATTTGCATGTGTCACAAAGTATTATTCTTCTTTTGATTTTTTCAACCACTTAAAAATGTAAAAATCATTCTCAGCTCACAGGCTTTACAAAAACAGGCAGGTTGGCCAGGTTTCGTAGTTTGCCCATCCCTATACTATTCCACGAACTTTTAACAGCCAGAGCGGTATCACATCTGACTTTGTATCCACGGCACTTAGAATAGTATCCAGCTTATAGTGGGTGCTTAATAAATACTTGTTACATAAATAAAACTCACATAGCTAGTAGTGAGTGATAGTGTCAGGATTTAAACCTGAGTCAACTGGTTTGGCAGTGCAATCATACTGCCCACTCTGTGGCCAAAGCCATAAGTGATGTAGCACACTCAGAGCAAGATACTGAGATACTCAAAAAGTAATTCTACCTAGGAGTGAAAGTACTGGGTCATATGGTAGCTCTGTGTTTAACTTCTTTTCTGTTTCTTCTTGAATCAGCTTTGGTGAGTTATATTCTCAACTGATTTCAATTTTAATTTGTTTTTTTTTGTGGTTTGCATTGCATATTTTATTTTAAAAATAAAATTTCATACAGAGTGACAATATTGCATAGTTGCTAAGAGCACAACCTTTGGAGCCAGACTGTCTGGTTTTTTTTTTTTTTAAGTA